AAAAAAAAAGGTGTGACTTACAAGGCTTATTTATTTTAGCCTGTGCTTTAACAGTGTGCAAACTCAACTTTACAACTCGGACTTGAAAGCTTCTGGAATTTCTTTATGTTATTTGCTGTTGTTGGTTTGCTGTTTGTTTGGGGGTGTATTTTCCTTAAACATTAGTAACTTAGACTATGATAAGTGCATCTTTTTTTTTTCCTCAGAGGATATAAGCATTTGTTAAAGATGTTGTCCCAATAGACAGAATCTGCTTCCTCCACTAAAGCTCTGTAGCAAGAGAGACTTGCAGCTGGCCAGCACCAGCCTTTAGTTCCTTCTGTGTTCAAAACACTGAAAAACTGGAGAAGGAAATGGCCCCTGTGACTCACCTGCAAGTCACCATAACAATGAAGAGTCGGCATAGTGTTTTCAATGACTGCAAATGATTTGTGTGAAAAATCCTTCTAAATACAGATTATTAACAGCAATAAGTATTTTAACACAAGCATGTTATATTTTGTCTACGTCTTTTAAGTTTGCATGTGTATGTGCAGGTGCACATACATGTAGAGGTCAGAGGACAACCTCTGCTGAGCACTGTCTAGCTCGTTTTTTGGAAATAGGACTTCTCATTGGCCTAGAACTCTCCAAGGACTTCTCATTGGCCTCCAACTCTCTAGGTTGGGTTGGCCAGTGAGCCTCAACACCCCACCTGTCTCCTCCATTCTAGTGCAGGGAATACAAGCGCTGGCCATGATGCCTGCCATATTTTAGAGGGGTTCTGCAGACATCTCTCACGCTACAGTTGTTTTTGAAAAACGAAGATACAAAGGCCTAAATGTCTGATCATGGAGCTACAGCTAAATAAATCATAATACTACCATATGCTAAGTCACACACCTACGCAAAACTTTTTATGCCTGAATTAGCATTTACCAGGGGGTTCATGACCAAATCTACTGAATGCTTTTAAAAATAATTAAAATAAATTAAAAGCAGCATCAAGCTTCAGGATGGAACGCACACAAATCTATGTGCATCAAGGGTACCAGTGGTTGTTCCTAGGGAGTGGTTACCTATGGAGTTTGAGCCTTCTTTTTTTCTGAGCGTTTTTTTTTCTTGTATTTATTTGTTTGTTACAATTTATTAACTTTGTATCCTGACTGTAGCCCCCTCCCTTGTCTCCTCCCAGTCCTACCGTCCCTCCCTTTTCTCCACCTATGCCCTGATAGGGGAGGACCTCCTCCCTTTCTGTCTGACCCTAGCCTATCAGGTCTTATCAGGGTTAGCTGCATCATCTTCCTCTGTGCCCTGGTAAGGCTGTACCCCACCCCAGGAGGGGAGGGGAATCAAAGAGCCATTGAGCCTTCATTTTTAGATTCCCACATTTTCATAATAAGTAAATAAGATGTTTAGAAATATTTAAGGTAAAGGAAAGAAATGCATGTAATCTCCAAATCTTAAGTTAGAGAAGTCCAAGTTCAAAGATGAGACCGATAGAATCATCTCTGAATTGCAGGCATCCAGATACCTTGTAGAGCTAGGGTTGTCCAAGGTTCCATCAGTCTCCACCCAGCGCTGTAAAGAGCAGGACAGCCAACCTTATCTAAACGCCCAGTTTCCAGAAGTCCTCCATGGATAGGTGACAGACAGCCACACATTTCCCACCATGATGGTAGGTATGTGTGGGCTTCAAGACACTGTAGCTGTTTTACAAGGCATGACATACTGATAAATACTGCTAAGAAGTAACTATCTTCTGGATAAACTACATATGAAAAACAGTGAAGGGACCTGGAGTGCATGTACACCTGTGACTGCCTGGACAGACAGGGAGCAGCTGTCTGTCGCTGCTAGAGAAGTCACAAGAGAACCTGGGATGAAAGGAGGATGGGATATTTGTTGGCACTCTTTACAAAGATACGCTTCTCTTAAAATATAACTCATTTATTTAAAAAAGAATCTGAAGTAGGTAAGGAGAGGCACACATCAGCTAGCACATGACCCACATTCAGACTTTCCAGCAATAGGGGAAAGGAAAATATTTTAAATTTTGGAATATGGGAAATAGCATATGGATCTAGACATGGTATACAGATTTCAGCCAGCAAGCAATGATGGAAGCTGCCGTTCACTGCACTCTCCATGTACGTTACAAAGATTGTCTCAATCTTTCCAATAACTCACTAAAGCAAATACCACAACTCTAGGACCCAGCTGAAGAAACACAGAAGCCAGTGGCTTCCCAGTCAGAGGCTCAGTGCAAAATCAGGTCCCTTTGACTCCAAAGATGAAGTGAGTTCTTTGGGATAACCGTCATTCCTCTGAATATCTCCCTTCTCAGAAACAGACTGATGGCTGCATACTTCAAGAAAGTGATGGCCATATTTATTCTTGTGGCCACCACTGTGCTATAGTGGCCAAAATCCACTGTGTTGGGAAAAGCCATGAATCTTACCTCACACTTGGGCTGGCTGCCTATTCCTCCCCACTGATAAAGCAACCCAAACACTTTTTACCCAAGAACCAATTCAAATTGCTAAGTTGAACTGGAAAGTTCTTAATATGAAAGTCTCTAGAGTTGGTTCTAGAACTCCATGGCTCCATCTCTCACCACTCATTCCCTGCTGGACAGTGAGGTCTTGAGCACAAGTCTCCATCAGTCTCTTGGTCTCCTCTGACCTGGCACGCTTAGCAAATGTGTGAGGCAGCAGCGTTCAGGGGTCAGATGAAACACAGGTGGACAACTAAACTTTCTGCTGTTTTGGGGTCCCAGCTTCCCCACTTCCAAACCTGGAAAACTAGTACATTCTGAAGAATTCACAACAGCAGCTAATAAACCAGCCACGAATGTACCCCAGTGGCGCACCTTCTAGAAGCTCTGCTGTTGTCTCAGACAATGACTGTAATTAAAGGGAGAAGGTGATGAGAAGGTATCTCAGTGAACACAGCACTGACCAAATGTGAGGACCAAGCATGTGTCCCTAGTGCCCACATGAAAGCTGGGAAGGTTTAACAGCCCCCATGCCACCAATACCTGCAAAGCGGAGAAAAGGATAAGAATAAGCATGCTCAAAGCTCGGTGAGTGGCCCTGCCTTCATGCGACCGAGGAAGACAGCCAGTGCCAATCCCTGGCCTCAACACATGTGACTGAACATTTGTGAACATGCATGATTACATGCAAGTACTTGCCTGGCCAGAATGAGAACCTCAGTTTGCTCTCCAGAGCCCACATATTAAAAGAAGGAAGGAAAGAGAGAGAAATAGAGAGAAAATAAAAGAGCCAGGTGTGGTGGTGAGCAAGTGTAATACCAGCGCTTAGAAACAGGAGGGATGCAGATCCCTGGGGCTTGCTGGCCAGCCAGGCCAGCCTACTTAGCAAGTTCTATGCCACCGAGAGACTGTCTCAAAAACAATGGAGGATGGCATCTGAATGGCAACAAAAGCTACCCTTTGCCTTACACGCGCAGGTGCACACACGTGTGCATGCACCTACACACATGTGAACATATGTACACACACACACGGTGGGGCCTATAGTACAAAGAACTCAAGAGATGCTCGTGAACGAACTGACGTGTATGTCAAGCCAGTACCCTCTTCCCCACCTCATGAGGACTCCAAGTAGCTTCCAAACACAGGACAAACCCCTGAGCCCCACTTCATGCCCAGGCACAATGAGACTCCTCTTCTCCCTTGGGAAAGACTCCTTCATTATGCCTCCCAAGGAGGCACAAAGAGGCTCCACAGCCCACGTTACAACCTCACCCTTGAGAGAAGCTGGGCATGGGAAGGCCAGATATTTAGTCTGCTTGGGTGACCACTGGGGTAGCCTCTATCACAAGAACCACTGCATCTCATTTGCACCATATGAGTCCTCACTGCAGAAAGGACAAAATGGCAGACACAGTAGACAAACAGTGGGTTCAGACTCTTCAGCCTTTATCTGGACCAGCAGTCATCCTTACTCCTTCCACTGCAAACACAGCCTCAGCAAAACCTGTGATGTGGTGCAGGCAAAGGGGAGCTGTTCCCTGGCTGCCGCCTCCTCCATGGGAACAGATAGATTTTACGATACAACCAACAGCAAAGACCACTCTGTCATCACACACGCGTATCCTCTGTTTTCCAAATAATTCTTCCAAAATGCCTCCAAAGACCAAGGTCGCCAAAACCACCCGCTTGTGTAAGCCACCACCACGACTTTCAGTGGAGAGGACCACTCCAGCCAATGAACTTACCTCACTTGGGGTTCTGCATGCTTGTGCCCATTGCATACACTGATGTTAAACTTCAGGGCCAGGTCTCACTGCTAAAACTTCAAGGACTGCTGAGATGGGAAGAGCCTCCAGATGGATGGTTCTCCCTGAGGCTCCACCAAAAAGAACCTTGGCAGCTAGCATAACCCAAGGCAGACAGCTGCCCTGAGAGCTAGGCAGCAGACCTGATGCTGATACAGTCAACTTCTGTCCATGACCTGGAGCATGGTCTTCATTGTCACCTTTGTCCCTGCCTTCTCCTGCTCACCAACAGACCAAATAACTGCCTGCTATCCCCAGTGCCAATGACCTCTCCTCCTAAACACAAAAACACCAAAACACCCTAGACACACTTAATAACACTCCTACGGGGAGAAGGGGGTCCCTGGGAAAACCAATCCCAGAATTTGGAAACCTTTTGCCAGCTCGCTTCTAAGAAATAATGGAAGTAAAATTCTCTACGCCCACCCCCCACACACCATATCCTTTACTTCTCCACGCAAAACTGAACTGAGAGTGGGAACCCTGTTACAGAGCAGCATAGCTGGAGGATGTTCCTACCGAGTTGCAACGTCAGATTCCACAGTTGAGAGCAGAACCAGGTCCTCCTCCCGCATCCGAGCCTCAACCTCCAACTGGGTGACTACACACTTCTGTGGTCACAACTATCTACGTGGTGGCCCTGTGTCCAACTCAAGGAGCTCCAGGCTTTCCCTCTACAGAACAGAAGCTGCCCTCTACAGATCATGCCAGCTTTGCCCATTTCATTGCAAGGAAAGGTCAGTCCTATCCCGAACGCCTGACACAGAATCCCTCACCTCTGCTTGCTTTCACAGTCGCAAGTCCTCCGGCCGACAAGATCAGCTTTTTCTCGTAGTGGAAGGACGCTGCATTTAGATGGCTATTTGGGTCCATCTAGTGGAATTTTCCAGCACTCAGATCAGGAGGTGAAACACATGTTCGGCACGCGTCAACAATAGACTGGGCCACGGTCCCAGGTTATAGCTACAGAGGTATGTGTGTCTTCATCAACCAGGGCTCACATATGAGTTGTGTTCCCTATGGGTGTGGCATGATCTATAGAGAGAGATGCTGCCTCCAAAACTTAGAAACACTGCAGCTATGATTTCAGGGATGCCAAGGTATTTTTCAAGTGTTCTAAAACTGCATTTCGTGTCTGTGTGTCTGTGTGTGTACTCAAGTGCTGTGTGCACATGAGTGTGCTTGTACATGCCACAAAACTTATGTGGAGGTCAGAGAGTATCTTGCAGGAGTCAATTCTATCCTTCCACCATGTGAGTCCAGAGGACTAAATTGAGGCCATCAGGTTCAGTAGCGACCACTTTCTCTCACTGAACCAATGGCCCAAAACCTTTTTTTAAAATTTATTTTGTATCTAAATATGTGTGTTTGAATGTGTGAGTATAAAACCAACATGAAGATCAGGGGACAACTTCCAAGAAGCCAATTCTTTCTTGGTACCTTATAGCATCCAGGAGTTGAACTCACTTGTCAGGCCTGTGGGCAAGTGTCTCTACCCACTGAACCATCTTGTCAGGCTCCTGATGTTTTGGTTTTAAACTAACCATGTGCTTACCCTTTCTCTGCACATTATAGCTCCGAGAAAGGCTCCCAATGCTGAGATCCTAGTTTTGGAGGGGCTGGAATTTTCAAGATGCACTATGAGAACCCCTGGCTTGTATTTCTAAATGATTCCCCTTTGGAAGCTGAAGGTGAGGGACTTCCAAGACACAGTCCTTGAGACTTTGAAGATAGGTGCAAGAAGCAAGGCTTGCCTAACTGGACCATGTCTTTCTCCTTCTAACTGCTTTTTTACCCCAGGGAAACTGGTGCAAAATGATGGCACCCTGCCTGGACAGTGTCCTCAGAGAACAGCCCTTGAAGGCTGGCCACAGAGAAGGTGGTGTGTGGTCAGAGAGACAGAGGAGGAGAGGAGGCAGATGAAGAGGTGAGGACGAGGCTGAGAACAAGTGGCCTGGTGAGAGAGCACTGCCTGTGAGGAGCCAGGACATACTCGGATTTTACAGAACTCACTTTACATGTCGGGATGTCCTCTTCTGCGTTTGCCACCTGGAAGGCACGTTGATATCACAGTGTACCACCGGCTTGATCTGCAAAACAAACCATGGGGCTCAGAGTTAGCTTCAGATGAACAAACACTAGTCAGTACCAACAGTAAGGACAGCACAACCCTAAAATCACCAAGGTGATAGAGCACCAAGGACAGGTCCCCAGGGACTCAGAGAGGTGGGCGTGCACCTGGGGCCCAACATCATTCCAGTAGGGTACCATGAGGGGGTGATGTAGGCTGAAGGTCATGTGCTCCAAGTGGAGGCGAGCTGGAGGTAGACACAAAGAGTGTCAGAGGAAAGGGTGACAAAGCTGAGGAGAATGCAAAGCTCATACTAGGGACAAACCCAGTGATGCACCCAGTAAACACACACTGGTGGCCAAGGAGTGTCTATGCTTCTGCTGGACAAGTTACAGGTTAAGAGAAATAGACAAGGTGGCTTCCATTTTCAGACCAGGTGGAACACCTCCCTACATTCCACAGGCGTGCTGGGCTCTTTCCTAGGAATAAATATACAGAGGGAAGTGCAGAGCCTTCTCGGGACCTCTCCTTAGGATGCTCAAACAGGAAGCAATTGGGGAGAGGGGTCCTGATACAGGAGAACAAAAGTTCTCTTCTACCAGCCTACTGCCCAGGAGTGCACAGAGAAGCAAGAGGAAAGGGTTTGAGGAGTCAAGGCTATCCCTGTACTGGGCAACAGACTGGCCCAGCACCCGAAGCCAGAGACCCTGTAGGCCATTCCAGTGCTATCATGAAAGGCCCTCACCATTGGTCTCTGTTGCTCAATCCACCATGTGAACAGCATAGGCCCTTCCTCACCTCTCAGCCCTTGTCCCTATACCCACTCACTTAGGCCACACCCTCTGTCTCTGTTCATACCCCACAACTGTTCTGTGGCCTGGTGCCAGCCTTCACTTTCTTCACCTGGTCACAGGGTCAATCATTTCTGAGTCCCACTTCCCTGTCACCTCCTATCACTGTCCAGCATCCTGCAAGGTCTCACCTGGGGCATAAAACCTCCAGCACTGTAGCTCCCTGCCACATCTATCAGCTACTTCATACTGTCCATCAATAACCCTAGCCTGTATCTCACATCCTCATAGGCTTCAGGCTCAGCAAAATAGGAGAGGGCCTGTGGCTCACCATAATCCAGGCTCTCCTCCTTCCCATACTCACCACCCCCCAAAGATGAAGGTTATCTCTAGAGTGACACAGAGGAGACCATCCCTCATGAAGACCCAGAGCCTGGCGGCCCTCCTGCCTCACACTGTGCACTGCATGGGGCACCCTTTCTGCAGGGCTGTGCACCTCATACCTCACAGAGTGCCAGGTGTTCTCCCTCCTTACTCTGCTAAGACCCTGCTTCCCAATCCACATTCACCTAGAGGCACAGAAGAACCTCTGTCTGACAAACACCTCCATATGAGTCATGAGACCTGGCTGGGGGGTGGGGGGGCTCACCTCCACTGAGACCCTGAACCCTGGGAACCACATTTAGAAGAATGGAGGGAGTGTGGCACGCTGGGCCTGGAAGAGGGACACAGGCTTTGGCATCTACTGTACCCATTGGCTACCAGTGGCCAGAACAGAGGCACCCCCAGGGGGTAGAAAATAGAACAAATCTCACAGAGCCTCAGGTAGGAAATCACAGGCTGAGGGCTGGATGACCCAGGTCAGACTGCAGCTCCAACAGGAAGAGCTCTGTAAACTCTCCGGGCAGCAGTTTTCTAATTCTTACAGTGGAGATGACAGACCTTACAGGATTCTCGTGACAACTAAATGACAGAGCATTTCATAAAAGGCACTGTGTGGTATCTATCATATTGTAAGAAGCACTTGAAATTAAGTTACTATGAGAGACCCCTAACGTATGCAGGGGGGGAGGAGGGAGCCCATTCAGACATCTCAGTCTTATTTTGGCCCTAGCAGAATCACTGACCATTCACACGCATGTCCAATTCAGACCTCACCATCTTAGATGACAACAGCAAGATCCAGTTGTGCAAATATGACACTGGGAAGATGCTTGACCTCTTCCCATGCCTGGATCCTCTCAGCTAAACCACCAGCACCTCCATCAGCAATCAAAGACCTATAAGGGGCCCTGGTTTCTTGCCCCCCAACTGCTCCTAGCCACTCTGTCCCCTACTAGCTCCCCCCCCCCACCCCATCTCTTACCATTCCCAACCTCGTGTGTGTGTGTGTGTGTTGTCTTCTCAAGTACACAGGTGCATAGGTGAATACATGTGGAAGCCAGATGTCAACCTCACAGGTGTCATTGCCTAGGATCACCCCCATCCCTTGATTTTATAAATGGGGGTCTCTTGTCGGGACTTGGGGCTCATAAACTTGCTAGACTGACTAGCCAGAGAGCCTTAGGGGATCTTTCTGTCTCTGGAAAGGGGAGGTAGAAAGAGTATAAAAGCCAAAGGTCAAAGAATATTGCTGCAAAATAGTATCTTCCGGACAAAGACATTCCGTTCATATACTCACAGCAGCTGTGTTTGCCAGCACAAGGCCCTGTCAAGGTCAAGCCAGGCAGCACTCCAGCACAGAGAAGGGAGGGACTCTAGAGGCCCCACCTCTAGCTAAGGACATACTGTCAGTTTCCAGCTGCCGGGAGAGGGAGGGTCCGTCTTCTTTAGCAGTGTAGCTTGTGGTGTGTGCCCTTGTTCTGGTGGAAGGCACTCTATGCCCATATGGGCAGCACTGATTAGTTCACAACTCGGCACCACCAGGCTAACTTAAAACTCACAGATATCCACCTGCCTCTGCCCCCAGGGGCCTGGGACTTCAGGTTAATGCCATCACACCCAGGAAGCCCCAATTTTGTTTTTTGTTTTTGTTTTTACATGGGTGCCGGAGCTAGACTCAGTGTAGCAAGCAATGTTACTGACAGACCTAACTCCCCAGATCCAACCCTCTGTTCACAGCACAGAGAGACAGGGTACTCTGTGACTGCTCACACTCATGTTCTGCACCCCAGCTGGCCTTCAGGGTGTCTGCCCTATCTCTCCCCCCCCTTATTTGGTTTGGGGTCTTACATTTTTCTTTTCAATTTGTTATTATCATTGGGTTATTTCACACGTAAATATAATGTATTTAAATCATATCATTGCTACCTCCCATTCAGTCCTTCCAACTCTCTCCAGCTGCCCCAACACCCACCTCCTAAATTCATGCCTTTTCCCCCCCACCCCCAGAACTGAGGACCGAATGCCTGCTAGGCAAGTGTTCTACCACTGAGTTAAATCCCCAAACCCACTTCAGGTCTTCTTTCACAATTCAGAGTCCAATTAGCACGGTTCAACAACTGCTAATATCTCCTCGGCTAGGAGTCACGCCTCTCACCTCCCTTCCCTCTCTACGCTGCAGTGCTGACTGCCTCCATCTCATACAAGTCTTGTGCTACCAACCCCGGCTACTGTGAACTCGTGAGTGCAGTGTTCTTACTATGTCAAGAAAATGTTATTTTGCAGCAATATTCCCTGAGCTCTGAGCTCTGGCTCTTAACAACTCTTGGGAGTTGGGAGTGTGATAGTAATTCCCATGTAGGGCTCTGAGCACTCCATAGTCACTTATTCCCCAGTTGTTAGCCATTGATTGCCTAATGAAGCTTTGTGATGAGGTGTGAGAGCTGGACCGGCCTGTGTTTATAAAGCTAAGTATACGGATGAGAGATTGCAACGACTCAGCCTTCATATTGCTCCTGGTTTTCTTGTTTCATGGCTTACACCGTCCTTTCAAGTATGAGCCTTCTTGGGGTAATAAGTCCTGGAACAGAATAACCCTAGTGCTCACCAGTAAGTAGTCTCCAAGGGACTGTGGTAACTACCAATGAAGCTGAATGGACAGTGGATGAGAAAAAGGTACCAGGATGAGCACACAGCTATAGTGCTGGGAAAAGGATCCAGAGTCAGGGGAGGCCAGTGAAGGCTGCAGAAAGCATGCGCACATCCACTGTTGCTCTGTTGTGTTGCATATAAAATGATGCATACCTGCGTGCTCCAGTGGGAAAGCTCAGTGCCATGAGTATCAGCAATGGGCATGTCTTTACAGACCTGGTCTAAAAAACGAAACAGCAGAAATTGCACTCTGAGAAATTCTACTGGGTATAGACACCCTAGGAATGGCTTTCTGCTTGGTTGCATACAACAATGGAAACAATAGGCTAATTGCTCGTCTGATGTGTTAATGACTCATTAACCCTGATAGCACCTGCCTAATTAAATAACTGCAGCTATTAACTGCACGCTCCGGATTCTTGTTCCCAGTACTCCATGTAATCATGTCCTTGATGAGTGTAACAAATGTGGCTGTTACTGTCTGATGGAGAGACAGTCTCACTCAGACTTGTCATAGCCCATAAGTCCCACACATAGACCTACCAGCCCACGGTAGGTGACTATTTCTCACATGTGGCAGCTGCAGTTGCCGACTGGCTCTAAGCAGTCCTATAAAACAGCATTACTAATTTCTAAGACAACCCCACAAAATAGCCAGGTGACAACCAGATTGATTATACAATCTTCCCAGGAACACACGGCTTCGAAAACTGTCACCATGAAAAGCCACTCACAGGTGTGTCCTCACGGTTCATAGCCATGAGCACTGGGCTCAGAACAACAGACACCTGGCTCAGGGACCCCTGGTGTGGTGGCTCTGGCTCTTACTAGTGTAACATGAGGCTCATGTGCTTAGCATTCCTCTGCCTGGTCTTCATGAGTATGAAGCAGTCACAGTAACAAACGCCTTCTCCACGTCAGGGTTTTCAGAGGGAAAATACACCTTGGCAATTGCCTGACAGCTTATTGTCACTGTGCTGCAAGTCCTCTGCCCTTTACTTGTTCTCATGCTGTCTGCCTGACCTCAGAAAACATCCAAGCATCTCTTGCCATGCAAAGCCTAAACCAAAAAGACTCTAGTGCCAAGGAGAGACATCCTTACATAATCACATCCAGAAAGACACCTGATAATGATCAATAATACCCCAGTGTGCATGTGGAAAGGTGGTGGAGTGTCCATTAAGAAAGCTCTATCACTAAACATCAGATGTCTAAACTTCTGTTTGAGCAATTAATGTCAAAGATGCATAGGTCCCAGAGACCATGAGGGTCTCATGGAGCATGCCATGGCTTGCACAGTTCTTGTTCTTATTTATAAAAATGTTTTGTTTCTTGAGACTGGGTCTCATTTAACATAGGCTGCTCTCAAACGAACTACATAGCTGAGGCCAGCTTTGATCCCAGTTCTTCCTGCTTCCACCCCTCAGAATGCTGGGACTATAGTGACAAACCACTCCTGGTGGCCCCAGGTTTCCTTCATGCTAAGCGTGTTTTCTAAATCTGAGCTGTATCGCCTGGCCCTCTTGCTTCATTTGTAAAGAAGGAAGGTCACAGAGCTGAAGAAACAGCTCAGCAGTTAAGGGCACTTGTCCTAGCACCCACATGGCAGCTCACAACTTAACCCTAGTTCCAAGGGGCAAGACACCCTCTTCTGAACTCCGCAGACACCAGGCACACACATGATGCACATACATACATGCAAGCAAAGCATTCAAGTCTACAGAATGAAATAAACAAATCTAAAAAAAAAAAAAAATCACCAAAAAAGGTCATACTGGGTCACCCCAAGATCACTTTGTATCCCTGCCATTCCCTGCAATCAAACTTCTTCCTCCTTTTCGAAAAACAGAGGAGTCTCACAAGGTCAGCCACCCTGAAGCAGCGAGGTCAGGAAGTTGAGACAGGTCAAAACTCACTTGTCAGCATGCCATCTCCTAGAGGGGAAAGGCAGATCTTGGAAGACACTGGCTTTCCCAGCCCTGTCCCTGGCTGTGCATGGCACTGAGGACTCCTGGGGAGCACACAGGCCAAGTGTTGCTGGGGCTCCTGCAGGAGTCCGGCTATGTGGGCTTTAAGTGTTCATCTTTTAGGAAATGTTTCAATTCTTTAACTTAAAAATAACAAGTCATGGGACTTGGGGAGATGGCTCAGTGGGTAAAGCATTTACCATGCAAGGGTGAGAATCTGACTTTGAACCCCAAGAACCCACACAAATGCTGGGTTGCTGGAGCATGCACATCTGTAACCCTAGTGTTCCTGCAGTGATATGGGAGGCAGAGATGAAAATCTCCAAAATCCCTACAGTCGGCCAGCATGGCTCACTCAGAGGCTAAGTGACCTTACCTCAAATAAGGTGGAAGGTGAGAACACTCAATAACCTTTACACATGTACTGTAACGCATGCTGTGGCATGCACATGCCCACACTAGCCCATGGAGATATACACACACAAAGACATTTTTTTAATGATGAGTTATATGACTGAGACAATTGAATGTGCTTTGTAAAGCCCCCTCTGGGAGGCTAAGAAGGAAAGCAGGAGTTCACTGCTCAGCCCTGCTGTGCCCCCATCACTATAATCATCACCAAGTAGCTGAAGCCTCTCTTTTCCCCAAAAGCAGGAAAGTGCATGCTGAGGGAACACCCACACTCCAGTGACAATGTTCTCAGAGGGAGTTCATTCTCCAGAACCCCTTCAATTACGTCCTTTTTAAAAAATGAGGAGGTAGGCAAATGAGACCCAGCCATTCCTGGGTTGGTGATAATCCCCTTCCTGCCAGGCACTAATGAAGGCTATTGTGAAAACAGTAAGTGGGAGATGGGGTTGGGAGAGAAGAAAGTGATGAACTACAGGGGAAAAGCAAGGCTAGAGAGGGTTGGAGGGATTCAACCTAGGTTTGATCAGAGGGGTGTTCACCACAGTTAGCCAGTGCTTTCCCTATGTGGTCCAATTCAATGCTTGATTAGTGACAATGCAGCCTCTGGGCCAGCCTGAGGGGAGGGAGCCAGGTCTTCAGAAAAGGAGAGTGCAGGAAGGAAGCAAGCCGACACAGTGGAGGGAGTGATGATGCACCCAGCTACCACCTAAAGCATCTTCCCCATCAGCCTCACACCAAAAGTGGAAACCTCCACTGATCCCTCTTTAAACCAAAGCGCTGCTCACGAACAAAAACTACTCAGAGAAGTCGTCAGCCCTCATCAAGCCAGCAAGAGATTCCTGGTAGGAAGTAATAGTATATCCTGCAGGAAAAGAGAGGGGGTGTGAAAGAGGTTCCCCTAAGAGATGCCTCCTTGTACAACAGGAGGGAACACAAATTAGAATATACATAATGAAACAGGAAACAGGAAAGGGGGAAAACACTAAAGCCCCATGATGGTTCACAAAAAGCTTAAAGAAGTTATAAACCTGTTCCCAAAGTGGCCTAATTCAGCTTTCTTATGAGTTAGTCTCAAACACTTACTTCCTTCAATTTCCTCATCTTTGCAGGTTTTCTGGGAACGATTTGAATATAGCTGAAAAAAATACAAAAGAAGAAAATCACAGTTAGAAAGACAACGTTCACGCTGAACCCTGGCGCCTCTGCCCATAGGAGCCCGCGTCAGCAATAAAGCAGACAACCCCACAAGTCATAAATAAATCCAAATCAGAATGTGATGTGGGACACTTCCAGTTCTGTTGACTGACCTTGCCCTGTGGAACTCTCCCCAATGACATGACTCTCCCTCGAATGAATGTACTCATTAGAGTGACCTTTGAAACGATGATTTAGCCAGGCGGTGGTGGCTCACACCTTTAATCCCAGCACCTGGGAGGCAGAGGTAAGCAGATCTCCGTGCAAGGCCAGCCTGTTCTACAGAGTGAGTTCCAGGACAGCCAAGACTACACAGAGAAACCCTGCCTTGGGGGGAGAAAGAAAGAAAGAAAGAGAAGAAAGAAAGAATGAATGATCTAAAGCTAGAGAGATGGCTTGGTAGTAAAGAACACTCACTCACTGCTCTTGCAGAGAGCCCAGGTTCAGTTCTCAGTACCCATTCAGGAGCTCACACCCTCTGTAACTTCAGTTCCACAGGTTCCAAGGGCCCTCTTCTGGCCTTTGCAGACACCAGGCATGCAAATGGTATACAGATAAAATGCAGGCAAAACACTCACACACATTCTTTTTAAAAGAATAAATAAATCTTTTTAATATTTTAAAGAAAGATAATTATATAATTTGTGAGCCTTGTGAGTTTGTGGTGATGTTGGGTAATGGTTGGTTGGTTGGTTGGTTGGTTTGGTCTTGGGTTTTTCTGTACTGACTCTTGCAGTACAGGCTGACCTAGAACTTGTTACATTTGTGTCACTAGCTCCAAGGACTGGGATGAACAGCACACAAGCACTGTAGTCATCTCCACCTATAGAGGAAATAGCTCAGAGAAAGTGACAGGACATCCTCACACACCACCCTCCCTTGAGTGCAGCCCTGAAGCTTGAAAACCTGTCTCCAGCCCTAACAAGTGACTGTTTAAGGGGACCATTTCAAACAGGTCACTAAAGGAACAGGATTCTATGCTCCTTCTCAATGTTTCTACCTGTCCTCCTTAGGGTTACTATTGCTGTGATGAAACACCATGACAAAAGCAAGTTGGGGGATAAATGGCTTATTTCACTCATAGTTCTATATATCAGTTCATCAAGAAAAGCAGTGAAGCAGGAACCCAAGCAGGGCAAGAAGCCTGGAGATAGGAGTTGATACAGACACCAGGAAAGCTGCTGCTTACTGGCTTGCTCCCCATGGCTTGTGCAGCCTGCTTTCTTATAGAACTCAGGACCAACAGCCCAGGGGTGGCCCCACCCACAATAGGGCCCTCCCACATCAATCGCTAATTGAGAAAATGACCTACAGGCTTGCCTACAGCCAGATTTTTACATAGGAGGCATTTTTCCATTGGGATTCCCTTCTCTCCAATGAGTCTAGTTGTGTCAAATTAACATAAAACTCACCAGCACAACTGCCCCTGTCAACTTGACACACAAACACATCACTTTTCAATTAGAACCCCCTTCCCCTTTATCCCCAAGTTAACATTAATATCACAATATAAGACATAAATAACTTTAGAAGTCCCACAGTCGTTACAAAATTCAATCACATTTTAAGTTCGGTCTCTTTAAAATGAGTTCATGTAAAGATCAAAATTAAGTTAAATACTGTTTTATTTAACTTAAATAAGAACCAGGGCAAGAACCAGGGAAGAACAAGGACATAGTCACAATCAGATCAAAGCAAAAGCCAACTTCAACAATCACTCAATGACCAATGTCTGGGATTCACTCATGATCTTCGGGCTCCTCCAAAGGGCCTGGGTCACGGTCTCAGGCTCTGTCCTCTACAGCACACACAGCCTGGCTTTTAGGCTCAGGCAGGCTCCATTCCCCCACAGATGCTGCTGTTCTTTGCAATCATCCAACGATTCCAGCATTTCCAAAAATGCTGGGGCCTCCTGCAACAGGGCTGTACTTTCGCCAATAGTCTCTCTTGGCCTCTCACAGTTCCAAGCTTCAGCTGCTCTCCATGATCCCTTCATGCCTTCAAAACCAGTGCCACCTGGGTAACTCTTACACATTACCAAGTTCAGCAGTCACTGCAAGGTACAACCTTGGCTGCCTTTGTAACAGTTTCTGTATGTTCACTATGAGAAAACACTTCCCAGAAGATTTCACCTCAATAATGCTGGTCTCTTGCTTTTCTCCTTATTTATTTATTTATTTATTTATTTATTTATTTATTTATTTATTTGTTTGTTTGTTTAATCTCTTTACAAGCCTAATCCCAGCTCCCTCCCTCCTCTTCCAATCCCACTCTCACACTCCATTACCCCTCTCCTTCTTCTCAGAGAAGGGAGGGCCGCCAAGGGGTACCACCCCTGGCACCTCAAGTCAGAGTAGAACTAAGCGCATCCTCTCCCACTGAGGCAGCCCAGCTATTGGAAAGGGATCCAGAGTCAGGCAACAGCGTCAGAGACAGCCCCTATTCCCATTGAGAGGAGACCCACATGTTGACCAAGCTTCACATCTGCTCTGTATGTACAGGGGGTCTAGTTTCAACCTATGCATGCTATTTGGTTGGTGGTTCAGTCTCTGTGAGCCCCCATGGATGCAGCTTAGTTTACTTTGTAGGTCTTCTTCTGGTGTCCTTGACCTCCCTGGCTCCATCTATGCTTCCTCCCACTCTTTCACAGAACTCCCCAAGCTTGGTCTGTTAGTTGCCTGTGGGTCTCTGCATCTGTTTCCATCAGCTGTTGAATGAGCCTCTCAGAAGACAATTATGCTAGGCTCCTGTCTGCAAACATAGCAGAGTGTCAGGGGTTGGCTCTCTTCCATGGGGTGGGTCTCAAGTTGAGCCAGTCATTGGTTTGTCATTCCCTCATCTCCGCTCCATCTTTATCTTCATAGGTTCTTATAGGCAAGACAATTTTTGGATCAAAGGATTTATGGGTGAGTTGTGTCCCCATTCCTGCACTGGAAGTCCCACCTGTGTACAGGAGATGGTGACTTCAGGCTCCTTAACCTCCACTGCTAGAAGTCTCAGCTAAAGTCACCTGCATAGACTCCGGGGCACCTCCCCTGTCCCGGAGGTAATCCCCAACAAATTTCTGTTCTCCCTCCCAGGCTTTCTCCTGACCCAGCCCCACTCTCCCCACACCTGATCCTCACGCCTTTGCCCTACCCACCCCTCTCCCACACAGTTCCTTCCCTCCATCTACCTTAGATGTCTGTTTTATTTCCTCTTCTGAGATTCAAGCTTCCTCCCTTGGGCTCTCCTTGGCTTCTCTGGGGGTATGCACTGAAGTATGGTTATGTCTGTACTTTATGGCTAGTATCCACTTATACGTGATTATATAGCATGAGTGTCTTTCTGGATCTGGGCTACCTCACTCAGGATTATCTTTTCTAGTTCCATCCATTTGCCTGCAAATTGCATGATGCCTTTATTTTCAATAGCTGAGTAGTATTCCATTCCATAAATGTACCACATTTTCTTTATCAGTTCTTCAGTTGAGGGCCATCTAGGTTGTTTCCAGTTTCTGGCTATTACAAATAAGGCCGTTATGAACATACGTGATCAAGTGTCCTTGTGGTATGGTGAAGTATCTTTTGGGTATACACCCAGGAGTGGTATAGCTGTGTCTTGAGTTAGAGCTGTTTCCAATTTTCTAAGAAACCTCCACATTAATTTCTAGAGTGGTTGTACAAATTTGCACCAGCAATGGAGGAGTGTTCCCCTTTCTCTACATCCTCACCAGCATGTGCTGTCAGTTGAGTTTATCTTAGTCATTGGGTATAAGATGGAATTTCAGAGTTGTGTTGATTTGCATTTCCCTGATGACTAAGGACACTGAGCATTTCATTAAGTGCTTCTCAGACATTCAAAATTCCTCTGTTGAGAATTCTTTGTACCCCATTTTTAATTGGGGTTTTTTGTACCCCATATCTCTGTACCCCATTTTTAATTGGATTATTTGGTTTGTTGGTGTTGAATTTCTTGAGTTCTTTATATATTTTGGATATTAGCCCTCTGTCAGTTGTAGGGTTGGTGAAGATCTTTTTCTGATCTGTAAACTGTCGTTTCGTACTATTGACAGTATCCTTTGCCTTACAGAAGTTTTTCAATTTAATGAGATCACATTTATTGTTGATCTTGATGCCTGAGCTGTTGGTGTTCTGTTCAGAAAGTTGTCTCCTGTACAACTTTTAATTGTATAGTTCAATGCTGTTCCCCTCTTTCTCTTCTATTAGATTTAGTGTATCTGGTTTTATGTTGAGGTCTTTGATCCACTTGGACTTGAGTTTTGTGCAGGGTGATAAATATGGATCTGTTTGCACTTTTCTAAATGTAGACATCCCCTTAGACCAGCACCATTTGTTAAAGATGTTTCTTTTTTTTCCATTGTATGGTTTTGGTTTCTTTGTCAAAAATCAAATATACATAGGCATGTGAGTTTATTTTTTGTTCTTAAATTAAATTGCAATGATCAACCAGTCTGTTTCTATGACAGTACCATGCAGTTTTTATTACTATTTCTCTATAGTATAGCTTGGAATCAGGGATGGAGATACCTCCAGTTCTTTTATTGTATAGGTGACTGTGGCCTCACTGAGTGACTTTGGAAATGTTCCTTTTTTTTTTTTTTCTATTTTGTGGAATAGTTTGAATAGTATTGGTACAACCTCTTCTTTGAAAATCTAGTAGAATTCTGCAGTAAAACCATCTGACCCTGGGATTTTTGAGGTTAGGAGTATTTTGATGACTGCTTGTATTTCCTTGGAGGCTATAGGACTGTTTAAATTGTTTGCATGATCTTAATTTAACTTTGGTAAGTGAAACTTTTCAAAAAAACTGTCCATTTTCTTTAGGTTTTCCAATTTTGTGTCATACAGGCTTTTGAAGTAAGACTTAATGATTCTTTGGGTTTCCTCGGTGTCTGTTGTTCTATTACTTTTTCATATATAATTTTGTTAATTTTAATAC